CTGGCCGGCGCTGCGCAGGGAGGGTGCAGGGAGGGCGGCTGCGGCGGGCAGGGAGGAGCCCCCGGCCCCGCCCGCCCTCCGGGCCGACCCTCGCTTGCCTGAAACCGGCTCTCCTCGGGCCGCCGCCCGGCAGGCCTTTTAGAGCCCGGCTCCCGCCCTTCGCGGCCTCCACTCTTGGGCGGCGGCAGGCATCGCCTACGGCCCTGCGCGGGGGCCCCTGCGGCCACCCGAGGGAGCCGCACCCTGTGTGTCCCCGGGCCAGGCCTCGAACTCGGTGTCCCCGGGTGGGGGGTGGGGGAGCCACGGCCTTAGCAGCTTGCTCCGTTTGCGATCCGGGAGCCTGGTGCCAGCGAGACCTGGAATTTCCGGTTTGGTTGGTCTTGGGCCCCGCGGAGCCGGGTTGATACCCCTCACTTCCCAATCCCAGGCCCTCGGATGCCCAGAACCCGTAGACCGCACCGTGGACTTATCCTTAATCGAGGGGGTGAGTGAGAGGGGCCGTGTTTGCAGGATAGGGGGGGTGGATGGAGGTGATTGGGGTTTGACAGCATGCCGCTGGGCACCCAGGCCGGCTGGTTTTTGCTCCCTCACCCCCTCGATGGCCCTGGTTCTGATTTGGATCCAGCCCTTGCTTCAACCCTTCGCCCACTCCCCTTACCTTATGCTTGGGTCCCTTTCTCCTGCCAAGCCTCCACTGTTTTCCCAACAGGTGTTGGGGGGACCCTGATGTGGCACCAAATGAAATGAACAAAGCTCCACAGCCCACAGGCCCCCCGCCAGCCCCATCCCCTGGACTCCCACAGGTAACTAAGGAGGACCCCTGAGGAATGAGCAGGGAGGGACTCGGGGTGGAAGACACGCTCTGGTGGCTCAGTGGTTAGAGCGCGTGGCTGCTAACCAAATGGTGGGCACTTCGAACTCACCAGCCACAGCTCCTGGGGAGGAAAGATGTGGCATTCTTGATTCCGGAGAGATTTACAGTCTTAGAATTCCTACAGGGTGCTTTTACCCTGACCTGTTGTGTGTTGTTATGAGTCGGAATCCAATGGTGTGTGTATTTGTTTTTTTTAAAAAAAAATTTTTGTTGGGGGTTGGGGAGACCAGGCAGCTGGTCAGGAACAGGTTCCAACCTCTGGATTTTCCCACCCCCATCTGTGTCAGGGCAAAGTGCAGCTGCCTGCTGCCAAATCAAAACAGGCCACGGGCTGTCCCCAGGGGCTGTCATGGGAAGAGGGGTGGTGGTGGTGCACTGTTGAGGCTCTTGCCACAGATCTGCACCCCTGCATTCACCACAGTGGGTTTCTGCCCTAGCCGGGTTTACCCCCTTGCTGAACTCTGGTCTCCCCTCCCCTTTAGCCAGCGTTTCCCCCGGGGCAGACAGCACCGGTGGTGTTCAGTACGCCACAAGCGACACAAATGAACACGCCTTCTCAGCCCCGCCAGGTGAGGGGCTGTGGGGAGGGGAGCAAGGGGCCTGGGTGGGAGCCGTGGAAAATGTAGGCCACTTTGGGTCTAGGATGGAAACTTTGGAGGCTCTGTAGCTGGGCCTGACTTGCTGACAGTTGCTTATGCTCTCCTGCTGCGCTGCCCTTGGCGATGTGATGTTGATTCCTTGCGGTGGCGGGGCCTCTTGGGGAGTAGGTAGTCGGCGGGGGGGGCATTACTGGGGACCTAGTGCTGCTGAAAACTGGAGGCAGTGCTTTGGGCCCTGCTGGCAGCTGTCCGGTTTTCTCCTTTTGCTTGGAGGCTGCCATTCCCCTTCTCCGCTCTCTCCTTGGACTGGCGAGAAACACGCCAGCTGCTTCTTGCCCTTCTCTGCTCCCCAAGTTCTTCCTCACCAACTGGGAAGATTCTTGCCCTACTTCTCTCATTTTTACCCCACTTCTTTCACCTTGGGGATAATTCTTGTCTTTCCTGTCCCCATGTGCTCTCAGGGAGGATTCAGGTCTCTGCAGGTAACACTCCCTTCCTAATCCTGGACCTTCTAGCCTCATCCCTCCTTTTCATCCCAATTAGGGATTCCCCAGACACACAGCCTGGGCTCTTTGTGGTGGGGACTTGGTTGTGGTCCGGGTTGTCAGCCTAAGGCTGACTGTGCATGTTAGTGGCTACATTTCCCTGAGTACGGGCACAGCTGGTAATTGGGAGGCTGCTGCATGTTAGAGGCTAGCTCTTCAGTACCTTAGGGTGGAGAGGTGCATGCTGGGGAATATTTGCCTGAAAGGGCCTTCCTTCGGCGTGAGGCATCTGGGTGTTAGGAAACTTCTGCAGTGGGCAAGTCTGGTGGAGGTTTCAGGAGTATGCATGGCAGTGAGAGAGGAAGCAGACACAGACGGCAAAGTGTATCCGAATATGGTGGGCATGTGTGAGTACAATAGGCCACTTCACCAGCAGTTAGTAAAGTGAGAAAGAAAGACTGGTCCCTGGGCTCCAGTCCCCCAGCCCTTCTCTATGGGCTATAGAGACTTTGTGGAATGGCCATTTTGCAGTCCACTTCCCTTCTCGATGCCAACTGCCTTCCTCCCTCCTGACAGCACTTCTACCCTAGCCGGGCCCAGCCCCCAAGCAGTGCAGCCTCCCGAGTGCAGAGTGCAGCCCCCGCCCGCCCTGGCCCAGCTGCCCATGTCTACCCTGCTGGATCTCAAGTAATGATGATCCCTTCCCAGATCTCCTACCCACCCTCCCAGGGGGCCTACTACATCCCTGGACAGGTGAGGCTGGAAGCCACAGGACCTTGTCCTTACCCCCACACCTCTGCCCTGACCTGCCTGTCTCCTCTCTTTAGAGGTGGGACTTCCTCTGGCCATTGCCCAGATGGGGCTTGTCCTGCCCTGCCCTGTCCTACATTCTCTCTAGTCTGACGCCCTCCAGCTCCCTCCGCCCATATTCTCCCTCCCGCCTCCCCCTTCTCCCCACCAGGGACGTTCCACGTATGTTGTTCCGCCTCAGCAGTACCCCGTGCAGCCAGGAGCCCCCAGCTTCTATCCTGGTGCCAGCCCGACAGAGTTTGGGACCTACGGTAAGCTGGTGCTGCAGTCCGGAGAGTGTGTCTCAGGGAGTAACTAAACAGAGACCCTTCCAGGCTTACCTCTTGGCCAACAAATGATAGGGTTGGTCGCTAGTAGGGATTGATGCTTTCTTTTAACAGGCGTGGGTGGGGGTGAAGATTAAATCCTATTGCTTGGCGACTTGGAGTCCTCTCCCCAAGTCAGGGAATACAGGATCAGGTGCCAATCTGGGGCCCTGTCAGGAAGCATTCCCTGTGACACTCCTGTGGTTTTGGGGGTGGGGTGGCATCTACATGAATTTGGGCTTTTTAAAAAAGTTTTATTTGTATTCTAGGAAATAATTTGTCCTTTATGGCCATGATTTCCAAAACTTCTTGATCACTTGTCAGGAAAGATTTTGAGCGTGTGCCTCTAGTATACGTATGTTTTTGTTTGCCTAAACGTAAACATTTACATAGCTTAGACAAATATTATCCTGTCTTTTTTTGAATCACATCAGTAGGAATTATGGATAAGATTTAAAAAATATACTCTACATCGGAGACCATTGCTATTGCTTTAAGGGTTTTTTTGATTCACTCTAAGCCCAGCTATTAATTTCCTTTTCATGTTGTTGCCTCTTCGCTGAAGAGCTAGAGGCGGGAGCTGGGCTTCGGTTGAGTAGGCCAGGCTGGCAAACTAGTTTTCCTCGTCCATCGCCGAAGCCCTGATCCTCTCTGGGGTTCCGTAGTTGCTGCTCCTCCAGTCAGTCTGTCTGCTTGGGGTGGGGATAGCACATGCAGAGGGTGCCTTAAGGGGGAGAAGAGAAGCAGGTGAGCCGCCTTGCCTTCTTCCTTCTCCTGGTAACTGGCGGATGGCAGGGAAGGGCCAGCTGTGGACCAGGCCTGTGTGCCAGTGTCAGGAATTCTTGTAAACGCAGCTCAGACCGGTTCCTCAGCTTTGATAGACACCAAATACCCTGGGGGAGGAGGGCGGGGCAGGGGCCCCAGCCGGCCACCTGTGGGTGATGAGAGGTTCCGGCGGTAGGAGGGGTTCAAGCAGGCATTTGTGTGTGGTTGGGCCCTGACGCTGCCATCATTCTTGTCTGTCTCCCCTTCCCCCCCAAGCTGGCGCCTACTACCCAGCCCAAGGCGTGCAGCAGTTTCCCGCTGGCGTGGGCCCCGCCCCAGTTTTGATGAACCAGCCAACCCCGCTTGCTATCAAGAGGGAGCGCAAGACGGTGAGTAGCAGCAAGGGGCTGTAGGACATCTGGGAAGGGGAGAGACCAAGGCCGGGAGCCGCCAGGGCGGTAGGGGTCTGGGAACAGGGACTTGAGAAAGCAGCTCTTCAGCAGAGTGGTCTGTGGAGGGGGGTGTGGGTTATTTCTTTGTAAGATACTCAGATTTCAGTGTAGACCCGTGAACCTTTGGGGAGTTTCTAAGACCTGGGTGCTGGGGGTCCGTGAGCACTGCTTGGTTTGGGGTTTCAGGCTGCTCGCCTTGGGAAATGGTTTGTTTTCAGTGCCCCCCCCCCCCCTTTCCCCTTCAGTCCTGGAAGCTCTTGAGGTCCCCGCCTCTGCTTAGTCCTGAAGCCCTGGGCGTGGTGCCCAGAGTAGGGTGCCAGGGCTGGGGAAGCCGCTGAGTCACCCTGGCTCCACCCACTGGATCTGGGCCCTGCCCCCAGAGATCAGGCCTGCTAGCCACAAGTGAGCCCCATGGGTGCTCTGCAGGGGTCTCGGGCCCACCTGAGTATAGCCATTGACTTGGGGACTGCTGGTGGGGCAGGGGTAAGGGAGGGAGGGGCATTGTGATGTACGACCTCTGTGAGGTCAAGGGTCTCCTAGGGTGGGGGCCTGAGCAAGGGACTCCAAGAACAGCCAGATGGCTTGACAGCAGAACTCATGGGGTTTCTGGCACCCACCCGCCTGCTTCCAGTGGGGGGTGGGGGGGTGGCTTGGAGTCTTCAGAGTGGGGGCAGGGTGGGCACGTGGGCTCCCCACTCACGTCCGAGCTTTCTTTTCCCAGATCCGAATTCGAGATCCAAATCAAGGAGGGAAGGATATCACAGAGGAGATCATGTCTGGGGCCCGCACTGCCTCTACCCCCACCCCTCCCCAGGTATGGGCTGCTGTGCCCTGGGCTACCCAGTGACTTGATGCCTCTCCTCCACTAGTGGGTCTGTTTCCTGCTTTCCCAGTTTCTGGGCATAGCTGAAGTAGAAAGGTTCTCGGGAAAGAGGGTGTGGGCGTTTTCAGGTCAGCTCTATCCTTGATATCCCCTCATGTCCTGCAGACGGGAGGTGGTCTGGAGCCTCAGGCCAACGGGGAGACCCACCAGGATGCTGTCATTGGCCGGCCAGGTGAGTAACCAACCAGCTTGGGGGTGGGGTGGGAGGGAGGTTTGGGATGCCGAGGAAAGGTGGGCTGGCGGAACTGGGTGCCAGGGACTGACTTTGGTTTCAGGTTGAGGGACTTTGAGAGTGAGTTGAGTTTGGGGTGAGAAGGGGACAGTAGCTGACTGAGGTGGGGGAAGAATTAGTAGGAGGGGAAGAAGCACCCCAAATGGGGAGGCCGGCTCCGGGAGAGGAATAGCTGTAGCAGTGAAGGGCTGGCCTTCAATGACGAATCCTTCCTTCCTGGGGTGCAGATGACCGGTCACAGGGGCCAATCCTTGGGGGTCGGCCAGGGCTGCCTGGCCCAGAGCACAGCCCTTCAGGATCCCAGCCCTCTTCACCTTCGCCGACCCCCTCGCCACCTCCAATCTTGGAACCAGGGTCTGACCCTAATCTTGAAGTCCTCGCTATTCCTGGGGACACGATGACAACAGGGATGATACAAATATCTGTAGAAGAGTCGACCTCCCAGCCCCGTGAAACTGGGGAGCCATATTGCCTCTCGGTAGAAGCTACCACCCTGTCTGAACCCATACTGGAGGTGGAAGTGACGCTTAGTAAGCCAGTTCCGGAGTCCGAGTTCCCGCCCAGCCCCCCCCAGGCTCCCGCTCCCCTTGCATCTCTTCATGAGCCGAACGGGGTGCTTCCACCTGAGGAACTGGACCTGGAGGTGGAGCCGAGCCCAGAGCCTTCCCCTCTCCTTTCTCCGGCCTGCCCTGCGGAACTCCCCGTGCCCGTTGCTTCAACTGCCCAGCCTGAGGAACTGCTGAACGGAGCCCCCTGGCCACCAGCTGTGGACTTCAGCCCAGTCAGTGAGCCAAAGGAGCAGCCCGAGGGGGCCCCGGACCCAGTGTGCCCCCCCACCGCCCTTGCTGCCACGCCAGCTACTTCCCCTGCCCAGGAGGAGGAATTGGAGGAAGAAGAAGAAGGAGAAGCTGAGGGTGAGAAGGGAGGAGAGGAGCTGCTTCTCCAAGAAAGCACCTCTGCCCCACCCCCACTGTCCCAGAATTTGGAGGCGGCTGCAGCCACCCAAGGTAAGGACGGTGTGGTTGGATGGAGGAGGAGGGTGGGGCTCCTCTAGTGCCGCCTCCCGTGGGGGGTGTGCCATCTTCCTGTCTGGGTCAGAGAAGCCCTGCAGCGGTGCCTAAGTGCCAGTGCAGGAACTGGCAGCCCCCAGGGGCGCGGTAGCGATTGAGTTTGCCCTGTGGCCCCAGTTGGCACAGGGGTTAAGGGTGCTCATTCCCACCTTTGCTCTTTTGTCATGTTATGGGTGTTGTGTATTCTCCTCCCCACTTTGAAAAAGTGGCAGTGTCTGTGCCCAAGAAGAGACGAAAAATAAAGGAGCTGAAGAAGAAGGACGCTGTGGGAGACCTTCTGGACGCCTTCAAGGAGGTGAGGGCGCTGAGAACAGCCGAGAGAGGGTGCATGGATGGGGGGAGGAACTGCAAGTGGCCAGCGGCAGCTAACCCTGGGCTGGGTGTTCTGTGGTGACAGGTGAACCCAGGAGTGCCAGAGGTGGAGAACCAGCCTCCCGTAGGCAACAACCCTGGCCCCGAGGCCGAGGGCAGCAGCGCCCCCCCACGGCCTGAGGAGGCGGATGAGACGTGGGACTCCAAAGAAGACAAAATGCACGATGCAGAAAACATCCAGCCGGGGGGGCAGAAGTATGAGTATAAGTCTGGTACGTAGAGGAGGGTGCCAAGTGCAGGGCCAAGTTCAGGGATCTGGGAGACGGGGCCTGCTGACCCTCTCTCCTGTGCAGATCAGTGGAAGCCTCTAAACCTAGAGGAGAAAAAGCGCTATGATCGGGAATTCCTGCTGGGCTTCCAGTTCATCTTCGCCAGTTTGCAGAAGCCGGAGGGCTTGCCGCATATCAGTGATGTGGTGTTGGATAAGGTGGGTGGGCTTGAGGTGTGGGGAGACACTTGGGCTGGATGGACTAGGGGGGACCTGAGAGTGAAGGAGTCCCTTGACGTTGTCCCCTGACGCCGTCCCCGTTTGTCTTGGCAGGCCAATAAGACGCCGCTGCGGCCACTGGATCCCGCCAGACTCCAGGGCATAAATTGTGGCCCTGACTTCACTCCATCTTTTGCCAACCTTGGCCGGCCAGTTATTAGCAACCGTGGGCCCTCAAGGGGTGGGCCAGGTGGGGAGCTGCCCCGAGGGCCGGTGAGTGGAGCTATCTAGAGGGCAGGTAGGGGTGGGGGTGGGTGGCTCCCTGTGCTAGAGATGTGTCGGGGTTGGCATGTGTGCGGTGCTGACTAGTTCTGTGTCTTCTCTTGTCCCCGTTCTCTGCTTATTAGCAGCCTGGCCTGGGACCTCGGCGCTCTCAGCAGGGACCCCGGAAGGAGCCTCGTAAGATCATTGCCACAGTATTAATGAGCGAAGACATAAAGCTGAACAAAGCGGAGAAGGCCTGGAAACCCAGCAGCAAGCGGACGGCTGCTGATAAGGACCGAGGAGAAGAGGATGCTGATGGAAGCAAAACCCAGGTGCTGAGTCTCGGCTGTTGGTGCCCACCCTCTCCTGAAGCTCTGTTCTCTGGGCTCGTGCCCTTTGCTTCCGCCCACCTTACCGATAGCATTTGCTGAAGTCCCCGCCCCTCTCTCGTCTTCTGCACCAGCCTCTGTTCTGAGAACCTCACTGGATTCTGTGTTTATGATCCGTTCCCTTCTTCTCCCCAGGACCTGTTCCGCAGGGTGCGCTCCATCCTGAATAAGCTGACACCCCAGATGTTCCAGCAGCTAATGAAGCAGGTGACGCAGCTGGCCATCGACACTGAGGAACGCCTCAAAGGGGTCATAGACCTCATCTTCGAGAAGGCCATTTCAGAGCCCAACTTCTCTGTGGCCTATGCCAACATGTGCCGCTGCCTCATGGCGGTGAGTTTCCGCCGTTCCTTGGACCCACGCATTTAAATTTCACGGTTTAGCCTCCCACCCCTGTTCTCAGACTCTTGGTTCTCCTCCAGCTTGCGCTGTGGTGGTGCTTAGGAGGAGGCAGAGCGGGAGCAGAGGCCTTCCTGGGTCAGGTGGTTTAAAACGGGCTTGGGGCCCCTGCATTGTGACGCAGACAGGTTTGCACTTGACTGATCTTGCTGATCTAAAGGTGAACAAGCCCAGCAGCGCTGTGGAAGGCAAGGCCCGGTGATGCGCTTTCCTTCCTGTCGCGAAACCCCTCTGAAAGTGGGTGTCCTTGGAAACACGCAGGGTCACCAGGAGCTGCAGCCAACTGGATGGCAACGTGGTGTTTGTTGTTTTTTTGAAAGGAGGGCTTTTCTGAGTTTGATAAACTCCCATTGAATACAAAAATGGCGATGTGGTATGTCAGTCGTCACCCAGTTCGAAGTGCAGTGTTTCTATAAGGGGGACCCTTACTGGTCTCGCAGAGTCTGAGGGCTGTGCTCTCTCTGACCTGCAGCTGAAAGTGCCCACTACCGAAAAGCCAACGGTGACTGTGAACTTCCGAAAGCTGCTGTTGAACCGATGTCAGAAGGAGTTCGAGAAAGACAAAGACGATGACGAAGTTTTTGAGAAGAAGCAAAAAGAAATGGATGAAGCTGCTACGGTGAGAGAAGAATAGCACTTGCTCTGCCCCTGCCTTGAGGCTGCTTGGGTTTGGGGTGGGCGGGGATACTGTGGTATTTTGGGGGGCTGGGGGTGTTTCTTTGTCCCAGCTGTTAAGTGGCAGGTTTGGATATCCCAGTGGAGGAGTAGGGTTTTGTGGAGTGGTTGTGGCCCTTGTTGATGGGAAGCCTGCCCTGTGACCCGACAGGCAGAGGAGCGGGGTCGCCTGAAGGAAGAGCTGGAAGAAGCTCGAGACATAGCCCGGCGGCGCTCTCTGGGGAACATCAAGTTCATCGGGGAGTTGTTCAAGCTGAAGATGTTGACGGAGGCGATAATGCACGACTGTGTGGTCAAACTACTGAAGAACCACGACGAAGAGTCCCTTGAATGCCTTTGTCGTCTGCTCACCACCATTGGCAAAGACCTGGACTTTGAGAAGGCCAAGGTAGGCCTCTGGGTGCTAGGAGACCTGGAGAGTTGGGGTGGACGGGCTGCAGTGTGGTGGGGTTCCCTGTCCACTGCTTCGCTTCTCCAGTCCATTGAAACGTTCCCTTTGCTTCTGCCTAGCCTCGGATGGATCAGTATTTCAACCAGATGGAGAAAATCATTAAGGAAAAGAAGACATCATCCCGTATCCGCTTTATGCTGCAGGATGTGCTGGATCTGCGACGGGTACGCAGCTTCCCACAGCTCCCAGTTCCCAGCACTGCCTTCCCTGGTTCTTCCCGAGTGAGCTAAAGGCCTTGCCTCTCACTCGCCTGTCCCCACAGAGCAACTGGGTGCCGCGCCGAGGGGACCAGGGTCCCAAAACCATTGACCAGATCCACAAGGAGGCCGAGATGGAGGAGCACCGGGAGCACATCAAAGTCCAGCAGCTCATGGCTAAGGGCAGCGACAAGCGACGCGGGGGCCCTCCAGGCCCACCCATCAGTGAGTTCCAGTCTGGGGGTGATGGGGTGAGGAGGAGGGGCCCTGAGGTGAGGCTTTCCACTGATGACTTCCTGTTAGTGCCACGTGTCTGGGCCACTGAGACCCCATGATGGAACTGAGGATCTGAGGAAGGGAGGGTGCGTGGACTCGGGTGGCTGGGGTGGATTCGTGTTCTCAGGCTGTCCTTTTTGCCCCAGGCCGTGGTCTTCCACTTGTAGACGAGGGGGGCTGGAACACAGTCCCTATCAGCAAGGGTAGCCGCCCCATTGACACCTCCCGGCTCACCAAGATCACAAAGGTAAGGGTTGGGGTGTGCTGGGGGCAGCAGGGGGGTGGGGGTGTCAAGACGGTTCAGACTAGCGCTGGACACGCATTTGAAAGTTGTGAGCTCGGGAAGGTGACAGCAAGAATTTTCTCAGGCTGAGACAGGACTACCAGGATGTCTGCCTTCTGCAGGTTTGTCCATTGGCCTTCCACCTGCTTCTATGTCCAATGAGCTCAGAATGGATTTCCATTTCTCAATCATTAGAAGGACCATAAAAAGTCTACAGTAGTCGCTACTCTGAACCTGTCTCTGGGAATAGTTGGCCTGTCGCAGTGTGTTGTGGTGCTGGCTGGAGGCGTGGGCCAGGTCAGAGCCATGACTCTGCTTTCTTCACTTTTGCTCAGCCTGGCTCCATTGATTCTAACAACCAGCTCTTTGCCCCTGGAGGGCGACTGAGCTGGGGCAAGGGCAGCAGTGGAGGCTCTGGAGCCAAGCCCTCGGATGGAGGTATGGGGGGTCCTCTAAACTGGAGGGTGCTCGTTAATGTGTGTGTGCTGGAGGGCCGTGCTCTGTCTACATGGGAGGCTTTTAATAACGCACTGGTTAGGTCCTGGTGGGAGCATGTGCGTGGGACTAGAGGCTCGGGATCAAGGGTGCTAAACAGAGGGAAGGAAGGAAGGAGGAGACGGGATGCGAGAAAGAACAACCTAGCTAACAAAGGGGGGGTCGGGGTCATGCCTCTGTTGCAAAAAAAAGAATAAGCGAGCTCTTTTGCTGCTTTAGCATCAGAAGCTGCCCGTCCAGCCACTAGTACCTTGAATCGCTTCTCAGCCCTTCAACAAGCGGTACCCACAGAAAGCACAGACAACAGGCGTGTGGTACAGAGGTGAGACATGCTGGCGATCGAGTGGGGAGTGCCGTGGCCGTGGCCAAGGCTGTGTCTGGTGGGCTTCACAGGCCTCTTCAGACCCATGAATGTCTGGAGCGAGCCGCTGACTGGGATTGGGGTGGACACAGGTTCTCAAAGTGGGCGAGCATGCTGGGTGATGGCATGAACAATGACCTGGGCGGGGACAACCGGACCTGTCTTTCTTCTAGGAGTAGTTTGAGCCGGGAACGAGGTGAGAAAGCTGGGGACCGAGGAGACCGCCTAGAGCGGAGTGAACGGGGAGGTGACCGCGGAGACCGGCTTGACCGTGCACGGGCCCCTGCCACCAAGCGGAGCTTCAGCAAGGAAGTGGAGGAGCGGAGTAGAGAGCGGCCAACCCAGCCTGAGGGGCTGCGCAAGGCAGCCAGCCTCACGGAGGACCGGGACCGCGGGCGGGAGGCTGGTGAGGCCTGGGCGAGGGGCCCGGGGTCTGCTGGGTTGGGAGCTTTGGCCTGTTTGGGGAGGACTCAGGCAGAGGCGGAGGAGATGGCTTTCTGTCCTCCGCAGTGAAGCGAGAGGCTGCACTGCCCGCAGCGAGCCTCCCGAAGGCCGGGCTCTCTGAGGAGGAACTGGAGAAGAAGTCCAAGGCCATCCTGGAGGAGTACCTCCATCTCAATGACATGAAGGTGGGCAGCCCCCCACCCCCCATGGAAAACGCAACCTGGGGGCATGGGTGTGTCTGGGCCAGGCTGTGACATGTGCCCCTGGTGCCTGCCTGCAGGAGGCCGTACAGTGTGTGCAGGAGCTGGCCTCTCCCTCCCTGCTCTTCATCTTCGTGCGGCACGGCATCGACTCTACGCTGGAGCGCAGCGCGGGTGCCAGGGAGCACATGGGCCAGCTGCTGCACCAGCTGCTCTGCACCGGGCACCTCTCCCCTGCTCAGTACTACCGAGGGTATGACTGGCTCCGGGGCCTCAAGTCTGCATGCCCACGGGTGCCCCTCCTGCTCCCAGAGCCCCGTAACTGCTGACGAGAATCACGGCCTGCCCGGTCCTGGGCATCCTTCCTGTGGGTAGCGTGGGTGTGAAACCGGTCAGGATGAGTGGTGGTTGCCTGGATCCAGAACGTGCCTCTGCTCTCCACAGTTGGTCCTTTAGTGGGGCTAGGGTGCTCGAAGGCGGGGAGGTGGCCCACCTCGTCCTCCCGAGATGCCTTTGACTCGGAGTCCCCTCGCAGGCTCTCGGAGACCTTGGAAGTAGCGGAGGACATGGAGATCGACATCCCCCACGTGTGGCTCTACCTGGCTGAGCTGACAGCACCTGTTCTGCAGGATGGTGGGGTGCCTATGGGGGAACTGTTCAGGTAAGCCCCCGTGGTGGACTTCAGGGGAAGTAAAGGCAGGCGAAGAGCCCTGACAGTGGCTCTGTGGTTCTGCCCGAGGTGGCTGCTGACCAGAAGGGCTGGCGATTGTAGAGCGCCCACAGCTCCACAAAAGATAGCTTCTGTTAAGGCGACAGTCCTGTGGTGTCGCCCAGCTTCCAAATTACGTTTACGCAACGTGTTTGGTTTTGCTGGTTTTAAAGAAGGAAGGGAAGGAGGAGTGGGGCCTGGGTGAGGGAGAATGGGTGCCCAGGTGTATAGGGAAGGTTGGGCCGGGGAGTACTGAGAAGTCTTGTGCAAACTGCCAACACTAGGGTTTTGTCTTCTCACAGGGAGGTCACAAAGCCGCTGAAGCCCCTGGGCAAAGCTGCCTCACTCTTGGTGGAGATCCTGGGGCTCCTGTGCAAAAGCAGGGTGAGTGAGGGCCTTGTAGAGGGCGTGGGGCCTCAGGCAGGCCCCCACCCCCCGCAGGCTGGGACTTCTTGGGGGGGTTCCTGAGGCCCAAGCGCCTTTGCTGGGCAAGTCCTGCTGGTGGTAGTGTCGTACAATCTTCTTCAGAGGAGGGGCTTCCTGTCTTGAGTTGTGGGCAAAACTCAAGACCTATGGTTGGTTGATTCATTCATTTATTCATTCATTTAGCTAGCCTTTTCAGAAGGTTTTTATGTACATGTTCTAGGCACTGGGGGCTCACACACAGTGGTGACTAAAACCTTAAAGCCAACTAGTTGGTCAAGAGAAAAGTAAGAAATGACAGCTTAATAAAAAGTAACAAAAAGCCATGAAATAGCATTGTTGAGACCTGGGGTGTCTGAGGAAGGTGAGCTTGCAAAGGTGTGCCTGTCTGGTGATGGTGAAAGCGAGGATGGTTTTCCTGCAAGGGTGCTGAAGCTAAGCTGCTCAGTGGCAGTTTTAGCAGGGCCTGGCAAGGGTGGGAGTGGAGAGATGGGCCATGGCCAGTGGATGAGGTTCTCAGCAGTAGCGAGAAGGGAGGATGTGCAGGCTCAGAAGAGCTCAGCCTTCTGGAGCCTGGAAGGATGAGGCTTTCGGTGGAAAGGAATTGTTCCTTCTTTTGTAACATTTTAGATAGAAATACATACCAAGAAAAGTCTACGTGGAACTATTTTATGTTTCATTGAAATGTAAGGTGCTGTAGACGGCAGCCCTTAACTGCTTATGCACTGCTAAGGATGGGAAGATGAACGAATAATGTTTAGTGGGGGTAAGATGTAAGAAAATGGGTGTGTTTAATAAACATTGTGAGCTCCAGCTCTCTTTTTAAGGCAAGTACCCTTCCTGTTTCTGTATGAGCCTTTGTAGGGTAACTAGTTGGCAGAGAAAACAGCCAAATAGCTGTGACAGAAAGCGGAGGTGCGGCAGTGGAAAGAAGGGGGAGCCTGCCTAGTGTGAGGTGGGGTCAGTGGCCAGGCTGGCCATGACGGGCCAGTGTCAAGGCGGTAAGGCTGCTTGGCCTTTTAGGAAAAATTGCTCTGGTGGTAGTTTTTGGTGAGGCTTGGTGATCTGCGTCTAGGATTTTTCAGAATGTGAGTAGGTAAACACATGTGTTGGACCCTGCCCTCTCCCGTAGGCCAGCGACTGCATGGCAGGCTGGCAAAGCACGCTGTGTGCGAGCAGAGGCCGTGGGTGAGAGTAGAACGGCGGGGTGGCTCTTGGATTTGGTTCTGTGCCTTTTGGAGGTGGAGGAGTCCTTAGGGAGTACTATAAAAGCTCCCGGCCAGCCTGTGGCTTCATAGCAGGAGCCTCTGTGTCTGGGCAAATGGCTAGCCCCTCGACAACCAGCCCCAAAGCTGGTGGTTTCAGCCCCTCACCCAGAGCCAGACACATCAGAAGAAAGGGCTGGCAATCTGCTTCCAAAAACTCCACTGTTGAAGTACTTCGAATCGGCACAGCTCTGCCCCAGCCTATATGGCTTGCCATGTGTGGAAATGAGACAGCTGCTGGTTCTGAGAGTCCTAGAGCCCGGTGGTGGGTGGGCTCTTGTGTATTTGGGTGGTTATAACGGCTGTCTGGGTTCTATGCTAGGCTGTAGGAATGGAGGGAACAAAACCGTGCCTGTCTGGTACCTCGGTGGCATCTCTACCCCCCTACAGTCAGAGGTCCGTCTTTCTGGAACTAGCGGTTGGATGACTGGTGTAGAACTCAGGTCCTTAGAAGGAGAAAGGGTTGCTGAGTAGGTTTCTGTCTTCCAGGGTCCCCAAAAGGTGGGGGCGCTGTGGCGAGAGGCTGGGCTCAGCTGGAAGGAATTTCTCCCTGAAGGCCAGGATGTCGGGGCATTCGCCGTGGAACAGGTTTGGGGCTTGCCTTCTGGGCTGGGTGTCTTCCTTTCCCTCCCTGTAGCTCTCTCAGCCCTTAGCTCTCTCGCCTGGGCGTCTCTGGTTACAGAAGGTGGAGTACACGGTGGGAGAAGAGGCCGAGGCCCCTGGCCAGAAGGCCCTGCCCTCTGAGGAGCTGAGCAGGCAGCTGGAGAAGCTGCTGAAGGAAGGCAGCAGTAATGAGCGGGTGTGTGACTGGATAGAGGTAGGTTCTCTCCCCCTGGGCTTCAGGGGGCAGGATGGGGCGCGAGAGGTATTTTTGGTGTGTGTTAGGCGGGGAGAAGTTGCTGGGTAGTGTCGGTGGTTATGCACGTACCTGAGGGAGAGAGGGAAGCAGTTGAGACCCACCCATAGGTGCCTTCAGAGGCAGGCCTGGCATTCTGCTTCCAAAGGGCCCACAGCTCTGAAACTTAAAATAGAGTACAGTTCTCTAGGCACGTGGGGCTCCGGGAGCGGGACAGATAGCAAGGGTGGATAGGTACCTGGACACATCCGAATTCATTTGTTTCTTCTGCACAGGCCAATCTGAGTGAGCAGCAGGTAGCATCCAACATACTAGTTCGAGCCCTCATGACAAGTGTCTGCTATTCCGCAATTATATGTAAGAGGGGCTAAGGAAAAGGGTGGGGTGGGACATGAGGTGAACGGGAGGGAGGGAGGTCTGTCTTGTGTCTCAGGTCTGCGCTGAGCGCATTCCCCACTTCTTCCCGTCTTCCCTTCAGTCGAGACCCCCCTCCGAGCGGATGCTGCGGTGCTGAAAGCGCGAGCAAAACTGCTCCAGAAATACCTGTGTGACGAGCAGAAGGAGCTGCAGGCGCTCTACGCCCTCCAGGCCCTTGTAGTGGCCTTAGAACAGCCTGCCAGTAAGAGCCGGATGGAGGGAGGGGCCGTCGGCGGGCAGGAGGTGGTGTGACTGCCCCACAGAGTCGGGGAACCGTCATTGAAGAATAATAGCACACACTTAGGCTCTGCTGCCCTCGCCCTTTATTTCTTGACCTGCATGTAGAGGAGCCTTGGAGGCTGGTGGGAGGGCCTGGTTGTCAGCCAGGTGCTGAGAGCACAGAGGTGGTAGGTCAGTGGTGGGCCTCTCCCTGGATCTCAGCTTGTGCTATACAGCTTGCCTACTTTGCCTCTTCAGCCCTCACAGCTGTTGTTCGGGCCCATGACACTGTCTCCCTTCTCCATATCGGGAGACTGAAGCTTGGGTCAGTGAACAAGATTCTGTTCAACAGATAACAGCTGGGCGCCAGGCCGGGGTGTCTGCAGTGACTAAGTCAAGGCACACTCCCTGTGCGCCCCGGCAGAGGCTGCTTCTGAGTCTAACTGTGGGATGGGGTTTGGAAGATGAACACGGGTGCCTTCTGGGGAAGTACATCTAGTCTGTGGTCATGATCGGGAATTACATGTGGGAGGGGGGGTCAGCATGATCCGGTGCAACAACCAGCCCTCGTGAGGCCAGCTGGGGTGAGGGCCACGCAGGGCGTGGGACCATCGGGAGAGTGTTAGGTCTTTATCCTATGGACAAAAGTAGGTCTGGATGGAATTTGCAGAGTCCAGATTTCCAGTTTGAGAGTCATCCTGGCCCTGAGTGTGTGGGGGGAGCAGTTGGTCATGTCTGAGAGGAGGCTGTGGCTGCAGCACAGCCCATTGGGAGCTGCTGGCCGTGGCTGGAAGTAGGCGAGCTGGGAAATGGAACGCAATCTTTAGTGGCCTGACAGGGTGAGTTGGCTGGTGAGGAATTAATTAGTCAAGACCAACTCCCCAGGTGGGTTCTGCAGGTGAAGCCATCTGGTGGCACCAGTCACAAGATGAGTGTGGTCCTAATGGGTCTGTGGTCCCTTCGGAGTCAGGGGTCAGAGATGTCAAGTAGGCATTGCTACAGTTGGATACTTGGGTGCCTGGGGAGGAGGAAGACTGTGGGTTCATATGCTGGCATCGTATGTATTTGTGACAAGGGAATATTGAGTTGTCTTGGAAGAGTAATGAATGCCTTGGGACAGAGCCCTGAGGAGGCTGAGGACCCAGTGTGCAGAGCATTGGGCAGGGGTGGGGGTGGGGCAATACGTGAAGGACAGCGCCATGTCAGCTGAGGGAAATACTAATGCTAGCTGCTGCTTGTGTGTTCCCTAGGCACAGACTTGAAAGTGTGGAAAGATGAAAGTCAAGAAGAGTATTTTGGGTGCAGCATGGCGCAGAATGTGGATAGGAAAGACAGGAGTCCTTGAATGAGCCTGGCACAAAGAGCAGTCAGTCTCGGCCAGATCTTACAGAGATGGTGGCTGAAGGTGGAGGGCCTTGGTGTGATTAGAGGGCAGAGTAGATTGTGGTTAGTGTGGTGTCCCCAGGGTAGGTGAGGGAGCCCTGGGGTGGAGTGGTTACGGGTCGGGGTGCTAACTGCAAGGTTCGCACTTCAAAACCACCAGCCGCTCTGTGGGAAAAAGATAAGGCTATGGTTTGGAACCAACTCTGGCACCTAACAACAGGGCGGGTAGGCATGAGTTTGAGGTAAATGAAGGCTTTAGGAAGCTGCTGTGGACGGGAGGGTAGATGTGCCCCATGCAACACTCTGGCTATGGCTCAGTGTGGACTGCAGCTAGATCTGTGTGTATTTCACCTTTCCCGCAGTTTTAGGAATATAAAGTTTCGTTTGGAAAGTAGCACAGTACACTGATGAATGAATGGAATGGCTTGTGTTCAGGGGGCTACGGGACAAATACCTTGGAAGGCCTCTGGGGGGGAGGGGGGTGGGCGGAGAACAGGTCAGCGCAGGTTGTCCTGAAGGACTGCCCGAGGACAGATGAGGAAGCCAACGGTGGTCCTTGTGATGGATGTCGCCCATGTAGAAGTCCATCCAGATACTGGGAACAGGAGAGGGGTGGTAAGGAGGTGAACATTAGGATGAAGAGTTGGCTGAGGCTTAGTCTGTTTGCAGACAAGAGGCCCTTTCAGGTTAGACCCTCGGCTTTTGCGAGTGAGATGTGGAGCTTTTGTGAATATAGGATGCATGGTTTTGAAGTTTTTTTTCCACATACTGTGAGTTGAATGACGTTTTCGGAACAAGTTAACTTTCCATTCAACAATTCATTTCCTCGTGTTGCGGTACCTCCTCCCTCCCTGACCCTTCTGAACGGAATTTCCTGAGGTGTGCACACGTTTCTGGTGTTTCTGTTGCCTTTACAGACCTGTCTCGGTTGCCTGGAAAATTGAGTTCAGTTCCTGACCTCTGAAGGGTGATTAAGGCTTTAGTTTTTTTGGGTGTTTTTTTTTTTTTAGGGTTTTAGGCTTGGGGGCTCAACCAGTCGTGATCTGAATTGTAAGCCTCATCTTTTTTAGAATTGTGAGTTTGGTCCCACTCCATCCAGAACGTGAGGTGTGATCCTTATCAGTCGGCAGCAGGGGTAGCTGGGCATCAGCTAGTTCTGATCTCGGGTCATGGAGTCGGGTCCTAGAGTCCATTAGTCCTTTGGGCTAATTGTTCCTGTGCATCTTTGGTTTGTTTTACTTCTTCCCCCTTCTGGGTGGAGGATAGACCAATAATAATTCTTTTCTTTTGTAAATCAATCATTCTTAGGCTGTAGTCTGTCACTTGCCCCTCTTGAGCATGGAGGTTAGAGCAGCAGAGAGGAGGCGGCTAGGTGGGGTTGTCACACTGTCCACATGGCCGAATGACTCACTCTTGCACATGGGGCTCTGGGATCATGAGATTAGCTTTGCTGAGACTTAGTCACTTGAAGAATGGTCAGACCCATAAATACTGACCGTGCCAGTGGGTCAGGTCCTGTAACTGGAGCTTTTTACCTCCATTCCTTGGGAAAGAGCTAGGGGACAGGATGGGCAGCTCTAGCGGCTGCCTGTAACCCTTTCCTGCTTGTTCGCAGACTTGCTTCGGATGTTCTTTGACACGCTCTACGACGAGGACGTGGTGAAGGAGGAAGCTTTCTACAGCTGGGAGAGTAGCAAGGACCCTGCTGAGCAGCAGGGCAAGGGCGTGGCCCTTAAATCTGTCACAGCCTTCTTCAAGTGGCTTCGTGAGGCTGAGGAGGAGGAGTCCGACCACAACTGAGGGCGGGTGGGGCTGGGGACATGGAGCCCCATGGACACGAGGATGGCCCAGCCAGCTGCCCGGACTGCAAGGGGGTGGCAGCGGTGGCAGCGGCAGTGGGTGCCTGTAGTGCGGTGTGTCTGAGCTAATAAAGTGGCTGAAGAGGCAGGATGGCTTGGGGGCTGCCTGTGGGCCCCCCTCCAGGATGCTGCCCGGTGTCCCTTTCCTCCCCCTGGGGCACAGAGATATATTATATATAAAGTCTTGAAATTTAGTGTGTCTTGGGGGGAGGGGCACCACCGCCTGCCCCTGGGGTCCTTTTTTATTTTCTGAAAATCACTCTTGGGACGGCCGTCCTCGCTGCTGGGGGCATATGCCCCAGCCCCCGCACCACCCCTGCTGCTGCCTGGGCAGGGGTAAGGGGGGCACGGTGCCTGTAATTATTAAAACATGAATTCAATTACGCTCACGCCTCTGCTTTATCATCAACTGCGCCTTCCCAAGGTCTGGCTAGGTGGCCCGCCCTCCAGAGCTGGCACTGTAGCACTCTGGCTGGCTGTGGCCAGGGACCCCTCTGGCCTCTAACCCTGTCCAGGGTGGGAGGGGTGGACCCTCAGGGTGGGCATGAGGAGAGGGAACCCTCCTGGTTAGGAAGGGGAGGGGAGACAACCCTGGTTCTCTTGCTTACAGACTAATAAGGGGGTCCTATCTGGAAGCCAGGGGTCGCAGGTGAAGCTGGTGGGAGAGGCTGCCTTCTTGTACTGTGGCCGGGTGGCGCAGGCCCCTCTAGCGTTTCGTCAGGGTCCCCCCGCAACCCTGACTCAGGACCGCATATTGTGGTCCGGGCCTTAGGCCGCTCCTGCGTGGTCGTGACGTCGCGTCCGCCCCGCCCGCTAAGTGGTGACGGCAGTGGTCACGCCCCCGCGTTTACGTCACCGGCCCGTTTCCCTCTCCCGGGAACGGCGGCGGACTCTCGGCTCCCACCCACCCCCCTCCCCTCCCGGGTGGTGGCCACGGCCTGGCCCTCTGCGAGGCGATGGCCCGGGCCCCGAGCGCCGGCTAGCGTGCCTGGAAATCGGCCATGGGTTGTGTCGGCTCTCGGAGCCCTGCACGTCAGGGTAAGAAGCGGAGGCCGGGCACCGGCCGGGGAGTCGGGCTTCTGCCGCTGGGTGCGCGGACTGCGGATGGGTGGGGGCCCTGAGGCGGGGGTCGGTGTTGCGAGAGGGAGGAGCCTGCACTCGAGAGGCGGGTCCGACAGGAGGAGGGAGCGGGGATGAGCGGGGAGGGGGCTAGACCGATCGGGTTCCTTGCCTGCCTCTGGGCTTTGCAGGGCGGTCTCCTGGCCTCGGCTTCCGCCTGCATCCTGTGGCCCAGCGTGGCTAGGGGTGCCCAGCCTTGGGAAGGGCCGGTCAACCCGATGCGACGCCCTCACTCTGTAGCCCTCGGCGGCTGGCGTTCCACGCCCACGCCCACTCTCCCCCCACAATACTTCCCTCCCGGCCCTGGGAGTGGCCCTTTGCTGGGAAGCTGCCTCTTAGCTGTGTGTACCCTCATCCCTGGAAGGCAGTGGGGAGGCCGCGAACCCAGGTCGACACCTAACCACAGGTTTTGTCTCATACGGCTCTTTGGAGTCAGCTGGTTGGTGAAGTCAGCTGATAAGACTGGGACCCCAGTTGGGGCACCTGTGAGCACCTAATCACCCCTCGCTGCAGACAACTGCTCGAATCCCCCTCACGCCCCTCAAAAACAAAAACAAACGGCCCTGCCAAAAAGAGAGGCCATTCATCCCGGTGGGCACCTTTCCCACACCTGCTGACCCCTGCCTGAGCCTCACTTTCTCTGGATGGTGATGCAGGCTGGGGGCTGGCCGTAGTCTAACTGTTTGAAACATCTGCTAGTTTCTTTTAGTGTCCTGAATATCTCCGATCCTAAAGCCAGGCGGATTTGTGACACAGGGCTGTGTATGGAATGAGTCCCCAGCCTTCAGGGCAGGTGGTCAAGTGCTTGTTATGTGAGGTTCTCTGGAGCTAAGACTCTGGCTGAGATGTGTACTTCCCTTGGGTGCCTGTGGGGAATTCTGTGATTTGTAGCCCTAAAATAACATGTCTATTGAACTGAGACACTGACTGATCTGATATTGCTGGCCCTGCTAAGACTCAGGAAGGCATCCCCCCCTCCTATGTCAGGAAAGAGTTTGGCTGACCCCAGGACTGGCTGGAAGAACCCTGATTAGCAATCAGCTGTGGGCCAGGGATGACCTGTAACCTCATGTCTTCCTTCTGGTTGGTAGCATTTCTGGGGACCACCAGCTGGCTGAGGCTCAGGGACAGAGAAGGCTGCTCCAGCTAAAGGTCAGTTGTGATGTGCATTGCCCACTGGCACTGTCTAGGTGATGGGCCTCAGCTCCCGGAGCCCCAGAGAGCGCATTCGGGCCCCTCACTCCCCCACCTTCTTGAAGCCATGAGGCAAGAATGTTCTCCTTATGTGACTAGGCAAAAGTTCCAAGTGGGGAGGGGACTGTCTCAGCATCCGGAGCCAAAACAGGAATAGAACTGGGAGCTGAGCCTGGAGTGGTTCTGGGCTTTTGCTTCTCGGCACCAACACAGCCAGTATGCCTATGATTTCTGTGCTGGGCAAAATGTTTGTGTGGCAGCGTGATGGGCCTGGAGGACGATGGACTTGTCAGACAAATCGCAGAGGTGAGACCAGGGACCAGAGCTGTGATCCAGGAGGTGATGGGGTGAGCTCAGGCGGCCAGAGGAAAATTACTCAGGCGTGGACCTTGAGAGCCAGGCAGAAGCTGAGAAAAGGGGCCTGGGGTCAGAGAGAGCAGCAGGAAGAGGCTGGGGGTCGGGGGGACATCGAGGGAACAGCAGAAATACCTGGGCTTGTCACTAAAGATGAGTAAAGAGCTGCGTTCCCCGCTGAGGCTGGTGCGGGGAAGGAACTGAGGCAGCCAACCTGCCAGCGATCCAGGGTGTCCGGTGGCGCAGGGGGGACGGGGACGTGGAAACCTGGGGAAGAGTCAGAATTTTTCCAACTTTAGGTTTTTGTTTTTACTTTTGGGATTTTGATGATAAAATACATCCGGAAGGGGAAAGTGGTCAGTGGGCTGCAAGAGAATGGCCCTTGGGGCCCAAGGGTGGGGCTTCGTGCTAGGGGCTTTCAGAGAGGTGAGCACCAAGGGGTCCTTGGTAGTCTGGGAGGTGGGGGAGGGGTTAAAGAGATGCGATAGGGCCACCCTGAATGAAAATGGGGAGGGTCGTCTTGGCAGAAGTGGGACCTCTGCTAAACAGCTCCTCCCTCCCCTCCCCCAGCAGCCTTGGACCCCGCGTGGGCTGTGGAGTGGATCGAACTTCCTAGAGGCCTCTCTCTAACCTCCTTGGGATCTGCTCGGACCCTTCGAGGCTGGAGCCGGTCCTCCCGTCCTTCCTCCTCCTCCGTGGACAGCCAGGACTTGTCAGAGGTGCTGAGCCCCTGGGGTTGGGGGCTGGGGAGGGGGCCGGGAGATGGCATTCACATAAAGGGGATCTGTATGTCTGTATCCCCACCCCCGCCTCACCACCCTGCTTCTGGCTCCTTTTTCCTGCGAGCGGAGGCGCTATCCGGCCGGCTGGGCCCCAAGGCCGCCCCCGCCCGGTCTGCTCAGCTCGGCGCTGTGCCAGCGGGCGGGCCGGCTCGCGCCGGTGGCGCTGACGTCAGCTCATCCCGGGCCGTATCCCGGGAGACCCTGTTGCATGGTGATGGGTTGCCAGGGAGACACACACCTTTTCGCTGGGCCTCGGCCGCAGCTGCGCGAAGCACGGGCACGGATGGCGGCGGTTCGGGGGAGTGGAGGGTGGGAGGGAGGGCGAGCGTGCTGGGGAACACCCAGCAAGTGCTCCTCCCGCCTGGCCTGGCAGGAAGCCACCGGCGCCACCCTGGGGGCCCTGCCCCTCAGGTACTGAAGGGGAGGACTGGGCAGGCAGGAGGCCCCGGAACCGGCGGAGCCCCTGCCTGTGGGAGGCGGGAATGCAGCTAGGAGAGCTGGGGAGGGGGCTGTGCCGCAGATGAGAGAATGAATGTTCCGGTGGAACTGGCTTGGGAGCTTTGAACCAGGTGCAGGGTGGCGAGCAGAATCCAGGTGAACCAGACCCAGGCGCTGTGTGGGGCTGTGGGGGAGGGGAGGGGCTTATGGAGGGCTCAGGGAAGGAGGGTAAACTGGGCTGAAAGCATTATTCTGGGTGAAGGCCCTGGAGTCAGACCTGAAATGGCGGGGAGCATTTTGACCGGCTAGCACCCAGGGGTCCCTGGACCTGCAGGCCTGAGGGCCACTGGGGGTGGAGGAATGGCTTCATTGGATGGAGGTGATCAGTAATGGATTGGCCAGGTGACCGGGGAGCGGTTAGGGGCCTCACAGAGTGGGGGCCTTGAGGGCCTGGATGTGAAGCCTGCACTTGCCTCCTTGGGCAGCCGGGGAGCCCTAAAAGGATTTGAAATGAAGACCTGCTGTGACTGGTGGGCACCCCAGGAAAATGACTTGTTGACAGTCCTATGGACCTGCTTCCTTCATTCAGCCTGGGCGTTTGAGGAATTTACCCTGTGCCAGGCCCGGAGCTAACCCCCCAGGAGCAGCGGCCTGAACAGATAGAGGATCAGCGCGAAACAAGAACATTCAGGAGACAGACACGCATGCACACTCCACACTGTGATTGTGACTGACTGTGACAGAGGCCCTGCGCGGGAGCAGGATGCTGTGGTGCAGGGAGATTTATGAGAGGTGGCCCACTGGGAGGGAAGGCTCCCCCCCCACTCTGAGCACTGCTGGGGGTAGGGTTTCAGCCAAGGCCTGAGGGGTGGGAGGCACCTTGGGAGGTGGGGAGAAAGGGACTCAGTGGGGAGTGTGTGTCCCATTGTGCACAGCATTCTGGGTTGAGAAAATAGGAGGGGGCTGGGGGCCCATGTGGGCTAATCTGCAGAAGGGCAGTGACAATGAGAGTAAAAAGGGGGAGAGTAGCGCCCCCAAAGTTTGGAGGTACAGTCAGTCTTAACAACAGCTAGGGGCAAGCCAGGCCTAGGGGAGGACTCACTGAATGCCAGGATGTGGAGCCAGGGTGAACTGGAGGTCGGATGGTGAAGCTGTGTCAGCAGGTGGGGAGCAGGCCCAGATTCGGGGATAAGGCGGTGGGCTTGGTTTGGGCCATGTTGTGTGTGGGTGTGGGACTGCAGTAGGTGATCTGGGACCATCTAGGATTTGGGTCTGAAGACGGAGAGGAAGAGAGGACTTTCAGGAAGTCCCTGTGCCAGCCCCGTCTCCTCCTCCTTTCCCTATCCTCAGATGCCTCCCTCTGACTGGCATCTAGGAGCAGGGAAGGTGGAGGGTTAATGGCAAGTCTCCATTGTTTCCTGGGAAGACAGGGTCTTCAGAGAGGTCACACCCGAGTGTGGTGGACTGGTCTGAGCTTTTTACCTAACTCTTAACATTTTCTGGCAACCTCTGGCCACTGTGTGTTACCCTGGTATTCCTCCCCAGGTCTCAGCTCCCCATACTGGGGGGTGGGGGGCTGGAGGGGGGAGCTCACTGCTATCAGAGGGGCACTGACCTTCTGGTGACTGCCACTCAAGGTGAATGTTGGAGACACAGTCGCGATGCTGCCCAAGCCCCGGAGAGCCCTAACTATCCAGGAGATCGCTGCGCTGGCCAGATCCTCCCTGCACGGTATGCTGCCCCAGGCCCTGCCTGCCACTCTGTGCTGTCTCTTGCCTTCTTTCTCCCATGCCCCTTGTGACTGTAGCAGATGGCCTCTTGTTGGGATCTCCTGTCTCCCTTCCTTTCTCTGATGAATTGGACCCCTTTCATTCACCCTAAAGCTCATGTGGACCCTAAGTGCCACCACCGGGCGGGCAGTTAGGTATCCACAGCCCATGCCCTTACCAGGCTTCTTCACTCTGCCCCCCCCGCCCCGCCCCCCCAGGCATTTCTCAGGTGGTGAAGGACCACGTGACCAAGCCCACCGCCATGGCCCAGGGCCGAGTGGCTCACCTCATTGAGTGGAAGGGCTGGAGCAAGCCCAGTGACTCCCCCGCTGCCCTGGAATCAGCTTTTTCCTCCTACTCGGACCTCACTGAGGGCGAGCAAGAGGCACGCTTTGCAGCAGGTGGGTGATCAGCCACACCTCACGTGGTCACTGGGGCCTGTGAGGGGCGGAGAGACACTCCCCCACTTCCCTTCCCCGCCCTCTCTCCCACCCACACGCTGAGCCCTAATCTTAGCCGACCTGTGCCCATGATTCCGGGTCCTCCCCTCAGGAGTGGCTGAGCAGTTTGCCATCGCAGAAGCCAAGCTCCGGGCCTGGTCTTCGGTGGACGGAGAGGACTCCACAGATGAATCCTATGATGAGGACTTCCCTGGGGGCACGGACACAGGTGAGGGGCCATCCCTTACTAGTGCTGCCAACTAGGGTGGAATTGCCTGCTAGGTGCTGGGGTTCCAAGCTGCAAGCTGCACCCAGTATCCGCCAAGCCTTTGAAGGGGTAGGGGAGAGAGGCTGACTGTCAGGCAGTCTTCGACAGCCCAGGGACAGGAGGGTGGTGTCCACCCTCACAGGACTGGAAGAGGAGTGGTGCCTGGTGCCTTTCCTCGGGGTAGGTCGAGAGGGCCAGTCTGTGCCATGCTCCGGCCTGCCGGCACAGAGGAAGGAGCTTTGGTGCAGCAGGCAGGGCAAACAGCAAAGCCTGCTGAGCCTGGAGCAGCCCTGGCTCGGCTTCCTCTGAGTCCTGAGTCCTGGCCTTCCAGCTGAGCCCTGCCTGTGGGCCCTTCTCTGGGCCTGTGTCTGGAGAGGGGACCCTGTGGGGCTGAGTGCAGCTGTACAGCCCTCCTTTCATGTCCCCCGCCCACCACGTGGCTGACTCTCTGTACAGTCAGCCTCTTTGGGCCCTTCCCTGTCTTTG